ACACACACACACACACACACACACACACACACACACACACACAGATACACACACACACCCTTCAATTGGAAACATAACCAGAGATTTGAAGGCTAGAGATATAGCTGAGTTAGTATACTGTTTCTCTAGCATGCACAAACCCCTAGGGTCGATCCCTTACACCTCAAAAACTGGGTGTGGTTGTGCACATTTGTGATCCTAGTCCATGAAAGGAGGAAGCAGGAGGATTAGAAGGTCAAAGCCAGGGCTTGAGAGATGACTCAGAGGTTAAGAGCACTGATTACTATTCCAGAGGTCCTGAGTTCAATTCCCAGCAACCACATGGTGGCTTACAACCATCTGTAAAGGGATCTGATGACCTCTTCTGGTGCTTCTGAACACAGCTACAGTGTACTTATATAAATAAGATAAATAAATCTTAAAGTGTTAACCAAATATGACAATTAAAAAAAAAAGATAGGCAGCGGTGGTGCACGCCTTTAATCCCAGCACTTGGGAAGCAGAGGCAGGCAGATTTCTGAGAAACCCTGTCTCGAAGGAAAAAAAAAAAAAGGTCAAAGCCATCCTCAGCTAGCTAGCTTGGAGTCAGCCTGGAACACATGAGACCTGAGACCTTATTTAAAAGAGGGTGGGGGAGGGAAAAATAATATTTCAAAGTATAGCACTACCCAGTGCAATGGAAGCTTCAAGCACAGGTTACAAAGAGGAATACAGTAATTAAAAGCACAGACGTCTCAAATGGAACTGAACCACTAACACCCATGACATTCTTGAGAGTGCTTAATACAGAGCCCAGGCATGTAATGTGCCAATAAGAAAAAATACTATGTTAATAATATCACTATTGTTGAGCAATAATCTGAGCATTTGGGAGGCTGAAGCAGGAGGATTGCTTTGAGTTGAGGCCAACTAGAATCAGAGTATTACCATGTCTCAAAATGAAACAGAACAAGCAAACAAGACAGAAAAAAAAATGTTATTGTTGATGATATCCTCTGAAGGAGAGCAGGCTGGACAGGCATTGTAATTCCCCTGAGGCTCCATATAATACTGCCAAATAGTTTAAAGGCACATGCTTTAGGAGACAGTCGCAGACACCTCCCCACACTGGGTCCAGAGGGAGTGGAGGAATGTGCTGCACAACGAGGACATCCTGTGCACGCACACAATTTTGCAACCATTTGAAGTAAACAAAGGTCACGTGGCCAGGAGAAAGCCAGCCAGCCCAGCATACTCGAGCAAGAGTCATCAGAGGCCCTAGGTATTAAAGAGCCAGAAATTTCCAGAATTGACAGTATGTGTTCTAAGTATGATGACAGGTGGTCCCTATAGCCCACAGAGTCTTGTGTGAGAGCTCACAGTGACCGAACTCTTAGTACCCCCTTCTTCTGTATTCCCAAAACACAAATCTAGCAACCCAACTTCCTAACCATTAATAATAAAGGAGCCGTGCCAGGCAGTGGTGGCGCACGCCTTTAATCCCAGCACTTGGGAGGCAGAGGCAGGTGGATTTCTGAGTTCAAGGCCAGCCTGGTCTACAGAGTGAGTTCCAGGACAGCCAAGGCTATACAGAGAAACCCTGTCTCGAAAAACCAAATAATAATAATGATAATAATAATAATGATAATAATAATAACAATAGTAAAAGAAGCCGTTACTGTTACCATTATCTACCCCTTAACGAAGTGTTTTTCCTTCTTAACTGATCCTGCTTTTTATATTTAGCACTTGATAATGTCACCTTTACTCCTATAAAGTGAGATGGATTTTATGGATGATAAAACCATGTCCATAAACTCTGAGATGTTCCTTTAGATGGTTAGAACTCACTAGTTTCGACAGTCAGAAAGCAAACATAGCTACTTAAAGCAGCCAGCCCTTGTTATCCCTGATGCTACAGCACTTGGCCTGGGAAGGGCCTCGGGGAGCTCACCCAGGGAGCTTTCCCAGGGAGCTCGCCCAGGGAGCACTGAGACCCAGACAGTTTAAGCTTCTAGCCTTCCATTGCTAAGACAGGAAGGGCCTAGCCTACTTCCTGGCCACTCAAGATAATAAAAATGAAGTGGACTCCAAAATGAAGGCTGGCTGTAGGTTTTATAAAAAATGAACACAGTACATGTGAGGGTTATTTGGGAAGCATATTCCATTAGCCTATTATAAAGCCTCCCCCCCCTTTTTTTGCTTACTTTGTCTGAAAAAAAAAATATCTAAAATTTTGAATACTTGAGTGTATATTCTGAAGAGTTCTAGGACTTCAAAGTAAAATGAAACTGTGTCTTTTCCTAACCTCTCATATTGGTATGATGAACACTAACCTTCTATAGGTAGTGTTATTGTTTGTGCTGTTCAGTTTCTGTCAACTAGATTCATTGGAGAAGAGAGAACCTTAGCTGAGAAGGTAACCCCATCCAGTTGGCCAGTAACACGTCTTTGAAGGCATTTTCTTGATTAATGATGGATGGAGAGGTGGGCCCAGCCCACTCTGGGATGCTGGGCAGAGGACGCTGGAAGGTATAATAAGGTAGGTAGTTGACTGTGAGCCTGGGGGCAGGCCAGTAAGCAGCATCTCACCACAGTCTCTGTTCTAGCCTGGAGTTCCTGCTCTGACTTCCTTTCGTGATGGAATACAAGCATAAGCTGAAATTAAACCCTCCCCCCAACCCCCAAGTTGCTTTTAGTCATGGTGTTTATCACAGCACCAGAAACCTAATTAGGACATTTTGTAAATGTATTTCCAGATTTCTGTTTTACAGTAGCTTGTAGCACTTACTAAGTCCTCGTTCTCTGAGAAGCAAGGTTCTGTATATACCTTTTAATTTCATCTTCTCTTCAAAAAATAAATATGTTTTTTTGCAGTGCTAGAACTTGGACTCAAACCAGGCTACACAAGGGCTTTGTAATAAACTATACTCACACCCATCTCTCATTTTTTTCTGAGTGTGTGTACACACACTCGTGCATGTGTGTGTGTATGCACACTCTCAGACACACACACACACACACACACACACACACGAGTTCGTGCAAGCATGTACCTCTGCCTGCGGTCTGTGTATGAACTATGTATCCCTTGCCTCAAGTGCTGGTAAAAATTCTAAAGGCTGGCCTGCTGCAGAACAGCCACCTACTATAATCCTAAGAAGCCCCCATGGATGCTTGACATTCTTGCCTCAAGTCACTGAGAGGATGAAGATGGGCAGATGAGGATGAGCCTTTTGCCTGTTCTTCCTTGCTGTGTATTATTCAAATTCTCCCTTGCTTTCTCCATGTATCTCAGAAACCCAAAGCAGAGCTGTTCACTGTGTGCCACATGGAACCCTGAGAGCTGAGGGACAGCACTCACCATGTTGCTGAGCATGGTGCAAAGTGTGTGCCTCGGGAGAGTTCACAGATCAGGAACTAGCAAGCCAAGTCAGCCAGGTCCTAAGCACCAAGAGCAGGAAACCAACCCCATCTCCAGTCAGGACACAGGACATGTGGTTCTCAGCCTCCAAATGACTCTCCCCACACCCAGGGCTCAGTGTTCACTCACATGTCACAAGCTCCCTAGGCCAACACTTCACAGGACTGTGATGGACAGTTCCCATGTATGTCCCAACATTGCAGCTCACACTGTTTTCATCTTTAAGTTGATAGGTTTCAATCACCAACATCAGCACCCAACATCCCTTTCTCCTGTTTAAACATTCCCCACTTCTACTCTGTGAAATGAGGAAGAAAAATGGTGTCTATAATTAATAGAATAAAAACTGCTTATTGAAATCTCAACCTCTGGCCGGGCAGTGGTGGCGCACGCCTTTAATCCCAGCACTTGGGAAGCAGAGGCAGGCGGATTTTTGAGTTCGAGGCCAGCCTGGTCTACAGAGTGAGTTCCAGGACAGCCAGGGGTACACAGAGAAACCCTGTCTTGAAAAACCAAAAAAAAAGAAAGAAAGGAAGGAAGGAAGGAAGGAAGAAAGGAAGGAAAAGAAATCTCAACCTAGAACTATATAGGATGCCACAAATAGAGAAAATCCTGACTCTCATTTCTTCAATTTCTTACCCAGATCCCAACCAAGATCTGAAAGAGGAGTTCTTAAGGGAAAGTGGCTCCTTGATGCAGAAACTAACACACACCAGAATGTGTAAGGAGCTGATGAAGTTCTGAGTATGTATATATCGATGACGTAAGCATGGTCAAGATAAGGACCACAGTGCCTCAGACTCATAGGAATGGCAAAGCCTTCCCATGGTCTGTGTGTGGATATTGACAGTATGTGCGGAGGATGTCCACAGAGGCTTCCTCCTTTCTATAATTACAGCCTGAGGCTGATCCTGTACAAGGACCTCCTGCCAAGATTAACTAAACCTACCTCCTGCTTTAGCTGTATACAATAGCTCTTCCTCCTGCTTTACTGTCTACAATAGCCCTGTCTCCTGCCTCCTGCTTCAGCTGTATACAGTAACTCTTCCTCCTGCTTCAGCTGTATACAGTAGCTCTGACTCATCTATTCAGATGTATACAATAACCCTGCCTCCTGCTTCAGCTGTATACAGTAGCTCTTCCTCCTGCTTCAGCTGTATACAGTAGCCCTGACTCATCTATTCAGATGTATACAATAACCCTGCCTCCTGTTTCAGCTGTATACAGTAACTCTTCCTCCTGCTTCAGCTGTATACAGTAACTCTGCCTCCTGCTTCAACTGTATACAGTAGCTCTGACTCAACTATTCAGTTGTATACAATAACCCTGGCTCCTGCTCCAGCTGTATACAATATCTCTGTGTCCTACTTCAGCTGTATATAGTAACCCTAGCTTCTGCTGTAGCTGTATACAATAACCCTGTCTTCTGCTTCATTTAGCTGTATACAGGAACCCTGCCTCCTGCTTCAGCTGTGTACAGTAACCCTGACTCATTTATGCAGATGTATACAAGAAAGGTGCTGAATTTCCAAGTTGCCGCTACTGTTGGTGCATCTCCATCAGACCCATGGCCACTGGATCCCAGCTTTTCTTTCTGTGTGTCTATCATTTCTTTACACCCTTATTGCACCCACTAGATCAATCTCTAAGCCTTTCAGAGTGCAAGAGGTGGGCACCCCAGGAGCTGGTGGGCAAAGTTAAAAGTCATCACCTGCAAAACCACCTCGTGACCTTGCCTTATGCACTTGGTCCCTAACCCTGCACTTATGTGGCTTTTCCTGAGATGAACCAAGTTTTACTCTGTGGTCTCCATAGCAGCCTGGACACATTGTAAAGTACATTTCTGGTGCTGAACATGTTTATTAACTGACACAGCATGTGTAAGGACCTGAGTTCAATTCCCAGTAACAGACAGACAGACAGACAGACAGACAGACAGACAGACACAGAAAGCAAGCAAGCAAGAAAGAAGGAATGGGGAGATCTTAGAGCATACTTTTCTCTTTTAATTAGAAGGCAAAATAAAGGTCTACTAATTTGCTTTCTCTTCTTTTTTTATAAATAATATAAATTTCTTAAGGATAATTCTAAATCTAGATGATAATTGAAAATTATGCTATTCAACTCCTATGTTGAAGGATAAAGATTAATTCACTTAAGAGTGTTTTCTCTCTATCCCAATTAAAGTTTAATTTTTCATATTAAAATCAATAGTGCTCCTTGTATTTAAATAACATCAACTAGTTTAGAGTAATGATAAGCATAGGTATCTCTGGGCCTGGCATGGTGGTGCCTGCCTTGCATTCCAGCCCTCAGGAGGCTCTGTGGGTTCAAAGCTAGCCTGGTCCACAAAGTGAGTTCCACTCCAGCCAAGACCCTGTCTGGGGGTCAGGGGTTGGGGGAGCTAATGGCAGCCAATGGTTGTTGTCCTCAGAGTACCAAAATGTTTGTACATATATGAAAACACATATTGATCAATCCAGGCATAGTGGTACATGCTTGTAAGTCACACACATATAGGAAGAAGGGGCGGGAAGATTCTGTTCAGGTCTCAGATCAGCCACCTATTGAGTTCTAGTCTAGCCAGGATTGCATGAGACCCTGACTCAAGAACAAACAAAACCAAACTAGGAGGGCGGGAGAGATGCTCAGCGGTTGGTCACAAGTGCATACTGCTCTTAAAAAGTATACAAATTCAGTACCCAGCACCCGCATCAGTAAGTTCACAGTCTCCTGGAACTCCAGTTCCGGGGAAGCTGGCATCTCCTGCTGGCATCTCCTGGACCCCGTGCACAACTGCACACAGGTGTGCATGCACATTCCCATACACAAACAGATACAAAATGAAACATAAAGCAAGTCTGTTTTCAAAGGACAGTATCTGTTTGCTCTCCCTGAGAATCCAGTTCTATTCACAGCACTCTGTGGCAGCTCACAGGCATCTGTAACTCCAGTTCCAGAGGTTCAAACGCCCTTTTCTGGCCTGTGAGGGCAAGGCATGTTCATGGTACACAGAACTACACATAGGCAAAACACCCATACACATGAAATAAAAATAAATACAACTTCAATTTTTTTAAATAATAATTATATGTTCATTTTATACATGTATATAAATCTGTGTGTTTGTAATCTACTTGATGGATTCTAAAAGTAGGATATCATACACACACAATTTTACCATGTGTTTTCTGTAGCCAGTACTTTCCACAAATATCCCTCCCATTCAGGCTTCAAAAAACAATCAATTTTTTTCTATATTTACTTTATCTTTAAATACATGTATGGGTGTGTGTACAGGAGTGCAGGTGCTCACCGAGGCCAGAGGTGTTAGACCCCCTAGGGCTGAAGTTATAGGCGATTGTGAACAACCTGACACGGACTGGCCTGTACTGGACAACATATGCTAGCAGGAAACCAAAGGACTTCGAAATAGCGTCCAAAAATGTCTCTCCCATTGGAAGTGTTTTCACACAAATCAGATCTCTGAGTTCTTGTCCCTACCATACGTTCTTTGCCAAGCATTTCTTCGTTTATCCGTCAGCTCAGCTGTCCTATCAGATCGTTAAACTGGCAGACGGTAAGCTAGAGTAGGAGGAGCTCGTCACCAGCTGAGCTCACTCAGGCTGTAATTTGCTCAATGAGTGTGTCACACTGACAACTTGATGAGTGTGTTACATCGACAACCACATCCCTGCAAAAGTCTTTAGCACAAGCTTACCTGTCATTCCGAAAGATCTTTGGTAAATACCTCCTGGGAAACCACATGGCCAAAGCACACATCAGAACCCAAAGGATGGCGAGCTCATCAAGCATCTGACCCAGGAAACTAAGAGTTGCATGGAAGTAGACAGACCCAATTCCTAGAAGGAATCACAATCAATAAAGATTAATGCAGAGGGGGCAGAGACAGGCGGATTTCTGAATTCGAGGCCAGCCTGGTCTACAGAGTGAGTTCCAGGACAGCCAGGGCTATACAGAGAAACCCTGTCTCGAAAAACTAAAAAAAAAAAAAAAGATGAATGCAGAACAGACTCAGTGCTTCAGGAGAGCCCTTCTCTAGGAAGAGCTATCAGAATCACCAGATCACTCTCAAAAAAGAAAGAGAAAGTAAGAAAAGAAAAAAGAGAGGGAGAGAGAGTGGGGAAGAGAGGGGCAGCAGACAAACAGACTCACAGGGTTCAGGCATGCAGACCTAGAGACTAGAAAGAGGGTTTCAAGTTGGGCTCAAACGGCAACACATCTCCACAGAATTCCACAGCCAAGCACACTATGTTTCCATCCTCTGAACCTTCACGATAACAGGCAGTAAATAAAACTCAACACTATCTCTCTGTTAAGAATTCCCAAACTGCCGGAGAGGAAATGGAAATCACACACAAGTATTTCACAGAACAATGAGGGGACCAAACGTCTAAATATTTTTCTTTAAGTCCTCTGGAGCCACATCTCATCAGACTTCAATTGTTTCAGAGGTTCTTCAGAAGTTCTCAGAAAACCACGCTGACACTGGCACGCCACCAGCGACTGTCCCACAGATGCTGAGATATGTGATAGTTACAGGCTGTCTTGTTATCAAGCCGGCACTCAAGAGTTCTTTTGGCATCAGGGGATCAATGGCTAAGACGTCAGAGTGACTTTAGTTTACAAAACATTGTGTTCAAAAGGGACAGGAAACATGTGGGGTCCCACTTCCTCCCTTTCAGTCCCGTTTCCACATGACTCCACTTACCCACTACAACCAGGAGAGTCCATATTAAGTAGATGCCGCTGTTGAAGCACGTTGCATACTGGCGGAACAAGCACATGCAGATGGGCGGTAAAATGAAAAACAAGACGTTGCTGATCTGGAGGGGAGTGAAACGTGAAAAGATGAGTATTAAGTAAAAGCATAAAGAAGTAAAGATGCGTATTCCAGGGGTGTCCTTTGCAAACCAGGGTGAATGTGGCCATGCATCTCGCGCAAGCTCTGCACTTTTTAAATTGCAGACACACAGAGCAAGCACAGGGCAGGGGAGGGGGGATGGCACGGATAACACTGGGACTTAGAACATGTTTAAAGACCATGAACAAATGGACTCCTTGCTGCCAACTGTAAACAACACCGTCGAGGCTAGAGGTGTAGCTGGGTGATAGAGCCCTGGTCTAGCATCAAACTCTGGGGTCAGTCCACAGGGGAAAGGGAAGGGAGTGGGAACTTACATGAATATTTTGATTTATGAAAATTTCCTAAACTCCTCTTCTGAATCAACAACTATTGCTTTCCACACGAGGGAAATGTTTTTGCTACCCTGTCAGTTTTCTTATCCTAATCAAAACCTATTTTTATAAGAAAATCAAGTTTGTACCCTTCTTTCCAGCATTAAAATATGATCATTTTGCCAGACAGGGTGGCGCAGGCTAGTGATGCCAGCACTCAGACTGAGGCAGGAGGATCAGGAGTTCATATAGATTTAACCACATAATGAGCCTGGGCAACATGAAACTCTGCCATTACCCCCACCTGACCCCCATGTTCCAAAAACAAAAGAAAAATTTGTATTTTAACTTGCAAATTTTACTTGTACTTAAACCTATTATACCTCCAAGAAGCACTCAACTCTTTAAAAAATTCAATGTTTTATCTAATGACCTGTATATGTAATCACTATTAAAATATTATTACCTAGGAAAATAGCTTGTGCCTATATCCCAACTTCTTGAGAAGCTCGGGCTAAAGGACTATGAATTTGATTAGTTATATTTAGGCAACCAAAACTAAATGAAAAAATAAATAAATAAACCATGGGATAGAGCGATCACTAAGCAATTAAGAGCACAGGCTACTCTTCCAGACCTGGGTTTGATTCCCAGAATCCATGTTAAGGTTCACAACCTTAACTCCAGTTCCAGGAGATCAGATGCCCTCTTCTGGCCTACACAGGCAATGCTCATACGCACTGCACAGCCATACATGCAGGTAAAACACCCATATATATAAAATAAAAAATAAATAAAAATTTCAAAAATCCCAGTAAATAAATGAAAGGAAAAATATTTAAAATATTTTATTATATTTGAATATAAAATATATTTAATATAAAATATTTTACAATATTTTTATTTTTATCATGAAATATTATACATTCTTTGGTTCATAGTAAGCCTTTTAAACCCAATGTGAATTTCACACATATAGAAAATTTCAGTTTTTAGCCACATTTCCTGTATTCAGAAGCCATACTGTAAAGCAAAGTTCTACCACACTCTAAGTTTTAAGAGCTGGGACTATATCTCAGTTGTAGTATGCTTGTCTGGCTTTTGTGAGGCCCTGACTTCAATCAACCGAATCACCACAAAAAGTAAAATTAAATAAATAAGTAAAGAAATAAATAAAGGAAGAGGGGTAGCTGCTGGAGGGTGGAAAGACAGAAAGGGCAGGAGGCAGCAGCAAAGGGACTGTGCCCTCCTCAGATGACAAATCTGCTGGCTCCTCATCTTGCATTTCCAGAGTTGTCAGAACCTTCTGATATCGTAACTGTCTAGGTTTAAGGCTATTTGTTATAGGAGCAGAGGCAGAGCTGGCACAGGGTGGTTTGGTGATTTTCCATTCAATAGTGGGCTTTCGAGGCACTTCTTTCTCTTTTGTTTTACACTCCTACCAACAGTGTACAAGGGTTCTAATCCTTGCCCAAACTATACTCTATTACACTCTATTGCTTGTTTTTAAAGTAAGGCTGTCCTAGAAGGCATGCAACGGTAGGACATGCGGCTCTCTAAGTGTCACCTCCAGTTGCTGAATGAGGAGCTCTTGATCCAGGCCTGTGCACGCAGAATGTAAAGATAACATCTACGTCTAAATGGGCTTTAACACTGGGGGTGAGGTGAGAGGCATATAAAGACTTTGAAAAGCAAAGCAAGTGACTCAGCAGCGAAGAACACTGAAGAACACGTGTTGCTCCTGTGTAAACCAGGTTTGCAGCACCCACATCAGGGGGCTCTTACAGCTGCCTGTAACTCCAGCTCCAAAGTATACCATGCCTCTAACCTCAGAAGGCAACACACACACACACACACACACACACACACACACACACACAGACACACACTTTAAAATAATAAAAAGAAGGCTAGAGAGATGGCTTGGTGGTTAAGAGCACTTGCTACTTTTACAGAGAGAGAGGATCTCTGTTCAGTTCCCAGCAACCACAGGACAGTTCCCAGTTATCACTGCTGTTCCAGGTGATCCAACACCCTCTTCTGGATACCTCAAGCACTAGATACGCATGTGGTGCACTTATACACATGGAGACAAAACACTCAGACACAGGATATAGAACACATAAATCTTCAAAATAATTAATAATAAATATTTTAAAAATAAAAAGAGCCAGGCCTGGTTGCTCATGCCTGTAATCCCAGCTAATCTGGAGGTGAGGAAGGAGGATCACAAGGTCAAGGCTTTCTTAGGCTACACCTTGATTTAACAGCCAGTCTGGACAACTTAGTGAGACTCTGTCTCAAAATTTAAAAAAAAAAAAAACAAAAGATCGAGTCTGGCAAGATGCTCGGTGGATAAAGGCACTTGCTACGAAGCCTGACAGTCAGGATTCAATTCCTGGGACCTATCAGGTGGAAGGGAAGAACCAACTCCCTTAAGTTATCCTCTGAGGTACATGCTACAGTAGGCAAGCACCCACACACATACACACTCACTAAATAAATTAAGCAAATGAAAAACAAACAAATAAATAAAAAGAAGGCTGGGGCTATAGCTCAGGGATAAAACACTCCCTCAGCAGGTGTGGGGCCCCTGAATCAATCCTTAGCACTGTCAGAAAAATTCAGGGATGAGTAGACAGGGTAAGGGTCTTAGTGTTTCTTTTGCTGTGATAAAGACCATGACCAAAGCAACTTGGGGAGGAAAGGCTTTATTTCCTCTGAGACTTCCAAGAAACTGTCCATCACTGAGGTCAGGGTATGAACACAAGAGGGGAGGATACAGCTGATACACAGGCCATGGAAGAGTCTGGTCACTGCCATGCTCACCCATTACTTGCTTTCTTATAGCACCCAAGATCACCAGCTCAAGGGGTGGGTCCCACCCACAATGGGCTGGGCACTCCCACAGCAATCACTAATTAAGGAAATGAACTACAGATTTGCCTACAAGCCAGTCTCACAGGAACATGTTCCCAAGTGAGAGTCCCACTTCCCAAGTAACTCTAGCTTTTGTCAAGTTGATGTAAAACTAGACAGTGCAGTAAAGTAAATATGAAACCACAAAAGCAAGGGCAAGAGGGCTTCCAAAAGAAAGGCGTGACTACCCCTGTTGGCTAATATAGAAATGTGAATTAAATGACAGCTCAAAGGAGCCACATGGGCGCCTGAACCCAGATGAAGAGAGCAAGGCGGTAGGGCTTTCCCCAGACTTCAGAAACCACACTGGGAGCATCGTGTCATAGCAGGGGCTAGGGAGATAGATGGCTTAGTCAGTGAAGTGTTCGGCACACAAGCATAAGGACTTAGGTTTGGAGAGCTAGCACTCCGGTACCCATGCACAAAGCTACATTTGAAGCTTTAATGCAAACGCTGGGGGAGGCAGAGAGAGAGGAGGATTTCCCAGGCTTGCTTGCAGGTGAGTCTAGCCAAATGTGTGAGCTCTGGGTTCTACAGGCACTAAAGTAGAAAGGGATTAAGAACAGCATCCAACTTCACACCCCGGCCTCCACTCACAAGCACACACAGTTGTACATATGCCGTGCACACGTGGGAGCACATGTACAGAGAAAGAAAAAATATTTTAGCAAACCCCAGAACTCAGGCACCCCTTGGAGGTGACACGGATTTTGGAAAGGGAAGAAATAAGAGAATAATCAAATGATAGAACAAAATCTTGATGTGTGATCGAATGTTCTCAGAGTGAATAAATGTTCTCAGAGGTCCCTGGCTTGGAAACAGGCCCATCCTCATTTAGAAGAAGTAACTGAGGAGTGGGCGAGATGGTGCAGTAGTTAAGAGCACTGGGTGCACTTCCAGAGGACCTGGAGTTCAATTCCCAACTGACTGCTCACAGCCATCTGAAATTCCACCTCCAAGGGATCTAACACCCTCTCTGACGTCCATGAGTACAAGGCATTGCATGTAGTGCACAGATATAGTGCAGGCAAAATATCCATACTCGCAATTTTTTATGTATAAAAAATAACTTTAAAAAACCATTATGTTTAAAAAGGAAGAGAAGTAAGTAAGGGTCTATGCACTTGCTTTGCATGCATAGAGCCCTGGATTCAGTCCCCAGCACTTTAAAAAAAATAGACTAAGGTGCCGGGACAAGGGCTTACCTATTGCATACACACAGATTTCTGTTCATGCTATGAGCACAGCCATTTAAAGAGCCATCGGCCCTTCAGGGTTAGGCTGGAAAGTCTTCAAAACCATCACTTGCTTTAAGGGGATATGAAGACCCGAAAGACTCCAAAGCAGCAATTACCCAGAGCCAGCCAGCCAGCAGGCTCTTCCCACTGCCCCACCCAGGGTTCACCTCCAACTGGGCCATTCCCATATGCTACCTAAGAACTGTGGATGCCATCACACTGTGCTCGAATGATCCCATGATTTAAACTTGAGTTTCATTCGGTAGGGAAAAGTAGATGAAATGGGGGATGCTGAAGAGGAAGCAAAGAATGAAAAGAAATAGAAAAACGAATTGTACCTTAATCATTCTCCCTCATGTCCATGGGCAAGCACTCCCTCTAAGGAACATCCTAAGAGTTTAAAAAAAAAAAAAACCTCCTTTCTCCCCTTCTCCCCAGAGATAAACCCTATTCTGAATGCAAACCCTCTATCTTTTCATCTTAGTACCCAA